GTATGTATTCATATCAACATCTTCATATTTTTTTATACTCCAAATTTTTGCTCTTATTGACTCTTTAAGGCTCAACATTCACACCATATAACATTTAAGAATAATTTGTTTTATAAAAGTAGAAATTTATAACATAAAACAAAGTTGGGTCTCATTATCAAACACACAAACCGAACAATATAAATATAACCTAACAAAACAAAGAACGAACTTCTCAATTAAAAAAATACACCGCTAAAATAAAATCAGGTAGTGATTGAGAAATAATATCAAAGATAAAATTGCACTTTTACATAATAAAAAAAGTATTATCATTAAATAACACTAATGAATTGAAAAGAAGAAATATTATGCAGAAAAACAAATTAATTCCCCCCTGGGGGAAAACCAAGCACGTGACATGTCCTTATTCTCTCAATGCCACTTGAGGGATGAAAATGAATTACCTTTAGGTGATAAAATAAAGTGACCTAATAAGAAAAGGAATCTGAGGAGCGTCAAGAAGGTAATAATAAAAAGGGGATGAGTTCCCCTTTTTGAAGGAGATATTTGAGGTAATAAATCAAAAGGGTTTGGCCCCAACAAGTAAAAGAAGAATAGAGGCACATGAGCTGAAAAGGAAAGGAGAATAATCTTAAAAGTGAAAAAATGATGCAACTTTATTCTTGAAGTGGCTCAACCAAGCTAAAAAGGGAACTTGCATTCTAATAACTACAGATTCACCTGCTCAGCTGAGATGTGACCTCCCTATCTCTCTTTGCCCATCTCCTTTTTTCTCAGTTCTTGCTAATGCTGGTTTTGTTAATATAAGAAAAAATTGGGAAAAAAAAAATCTCCTATTAAAATTTTTATTAATGACAGGGGCTTGATAAATTTTCATATAGGGAAAGTATTGGTACTCTGATAATTTTGTACCTATAAAATACCCGTACTTTGATTTAAGTTTTTTTTATTAATAAAATTTTAATAGGAGATTTTTTTCTCAATTGTTTTAATATAAATGGGCCTAATGATTATGCAAATGGATCCAAGTTTTGTCCTTCCCATTTCATCCCATGTGAAGGAATTGGTCTTTTAATTAATAAAGATAAAAAATGAATTTTTTTTGACAAATTTAACAATTTAACAATTTTTTTTTTAAAGATGTGTAAGATATTTGGGGAATAATGGGATGTTGGAGGTATTAGAATTAGCTTAGTATCCATTAATTTTATCCTTCAGCATGTCGAAGGCATTAATTTGGTCATCATTTTGGATATGTAGTTTTAATACTCTTCCTGTTCTAAATGTAAAACCCTTATATTCAGTAGTACAAGGGTCTTACATTTAGGACCGGAAGAGTAGCTGTATTTTAAAGGTTTTTATCTTCTACCTTACAAACTTTTTAATAAATGGGTGTCTAATGTGTCCTGTTATTTCATACGAGCTTTATGTATTTTTAATGGATACAATTTCATACGGGCTTTATGTATTTCTCTCTCTCTATAATTTAAATATACAATTTGGCTATCTTTTTAAAAAAAGAAATACTTTATAAAATCAATAAAATGTCATAATCTTCATAAATTATAATTACTGTAACTTATTTGAAATTTTATTGAAGGTACAATGCACATAAATAGTTTACCTTATAATATAATGGATGAGATGCAAAATGATGAAGTAGGCTGGCCTGTGGTCGGACCACCTTGGTCCCTAGACCTCGCCGGACGCTGTTATTTTTGGGTGGGGACCAGGCCCCACCTAATCTGGCTAGGTTGCATCCAGCGGTCCAAGCCACAGTGCAAAAATGACAACCAAGCACTAGTTTTCAAGCCATTGAATTTGAATTTTTGAGGCAGATAATAATAATTAAAAAGAAATTTAGTAAAAATACTTTTTTAGACATTTTATTGAACTAATGAAACTTAATGCTACTCATTTTTAGCTGCTGTAACTCTCTATTAGCTATGTGCAATTTATCTTTAAATGTGTTTAAGAGTATTCAAAATTAAACTTATTTATACATAACTAAAAATATGTTGCATATAGTTAAATAAGAATTGTATCCAGTAATTTAGGTTCTTGTAGGTAATAAATTAGGTGAATTTTTAACCAAGTTATCCTAATAATAATAAGAGTGAGTGAAATCTCTTTGAAAAAAAGTATCATATACATTTTTATAATTTTTATTCTACTTTAATTTTCCTCAACAAATTTTGATTTTTGAAGCTTTCAAGGGTAACAAAATTAATTTTTTTGCTATTTTATAATTATTTTTTTATTCTTATTGATGCTGATTATTTATTTTAAAATATATAATCATATTTTGACCCAATTATTAGTTAATTTGAAAAATTAATGTTGTGCTTATTATAACAAGTTAACAACAATGAGGCAAAGGGAATTGCATAGGAAAACATGGGAAATAATTTTTTTACAATACTTATTAGGTTATTATGTTAATGTTATTATTATTATTCAATACATTCTATTTTCTTTATTATTTTTGAATAAGAAAACTAAAACTATTCGTTTTAATTTTTGTAATAATAGTGAGATTAAGAAACCAAATAATTTATTTCATTTAATGTGAGCATTATGTTTATTTATTTTGAAAAATCACTACATTCTACTATTCGAAGACCAAAATTGTGGAAGATGACAAACAAAACATTTATTGGGGCATTGAGGCACGATAAACAAAAAAAAATATATTAGTAGCAGTTTGGAAACTGTAGATAAAGTAAAATGTTAAAATATGCAGCAAACATCAGCTAAATTACAAAGTGCCTCTAATTCACGTGATCTTTACCTATTTTTCAACTGTTTCCAATATTTTATTATTTTATTTTTTTGTCTTATTTCCATTGGGTTACTTTAATTTCATAACCCTCGTTGAGCCCAGCAGATGATAATAATAAAATCCTATTCGCCCCACCGCATTCATGCATGCATTCTTTTTTTTTTTTTTTTTAATATTAATGACTTGCTCAATATGTGCATGTTTGGACGAATCAGGTTTCAACAACATTTGGGATACAATATACTACCTCCGGTCCTAATTATAAGACCTAGTTGATTAATTTGGAGAGATTAAGGAATTTAGTTAAGTTAGTTATTTGTAATGAATAAGTGTTGTTTTTCCTAAAATATCCTTACTAATTAAATTTGTTATCTAAAACTACCATTATTAAAAGACTATCTTGAAAAAAAAATAGATAAATGTGAGAGACTAAGTAGATTGGGATCTTATATTTAAGACCAAAATAAAAGTCAAACAAGGTCTTATATTAAGGACCGGAAGTAGTATATCCTATTTTTAAAATATTATTATTTAATTATAAACCAAAATGAAAAAAATGTGACATGCGATTTTTTTTTTTGCCACCATGCGACTCATCATTATGGGTGATTAAATAATCTGATATAATATAATAGATATATGAAATTTGACATAAATATTGTGAAAAGACTCATAAATCAGTTTGAATAAAAGAAAATTAATTGGATAAAAGAATAATATGCTTGACATGATTTTTGAAGGCAACTTAAAAAAAGTTTTTACTCAAAATCACTTTAAAGTTAAACTAATAAGTGTTCTACTTTTGTTTCACTTAGCATTTTTAAATATTGTTTTCATGTGCATTTATCTAGGCTTCAAAGTATTTTATAATTTATTTGGTGTTTTTAAGTATTTTTTCAAATGCGTCAAGTATTATAAAACATTTTGTGATGTGACTCTGGATTTAAAATATTAAGACGTTAGGTATGTTCAGAAAAGTATTTTAGACTGCTAGATAAATCACAAAATATATTAAGATATTAAATACACCTGAAAATATATTTTGAGGTGTTACCGTGAAAATTTTTTTGCATCTTAAATATCTCTAAAAAAAAGACTTGAGAATATTAAATGAAAGCTAACTCTTGTTTCTTTCGCAGTATTTCCGTGTCCTGACTATGTGCTTGAATATACTTCATGCAATGCATGAGGTTAAAAACTAGTTATTCCTTAGATATCAACATTAGTAAATAGTAACTACAGGTTAAATGGGCATCCTCTCAACAAAAACCTTAGTAACTTTCAGGAATATTTAGGCATGAGAATCTAAATCTAAGTATAACGACATTTATCATTATGATGATCTAAATAATTATAGGCTATATGATTATTTAATACTACTATTTAATTTGCCTGACATCATTCAAACTAAATAATTATTTAAACAGGATTGGGCTTGGCCGAAGGAAATTACATCCAGTAGCTAAATTTGAAGAAATATTATAACTAATAATTTTCTAACTCAATAGGAGTAATCAGGGGTTTATTATAAAATATTGACAAATTATAGTTAAAATTTTAAAATATAATATGGTTTTTTTCCAACATAATTTGCTTATATTTTATTACTTTTATAGTTATTTTAATTAAATAATATTTTTTTTAATAAATCCTTATTGACAAATAATGAAATACTACCTTATGTCCTTAATATAGAATCTCATTTGATTTTTATTTTGATCTTAAATATAAGATTCTAATATATTTTGTCTCTAATTTTTATGTATTTTTTTAAGATAGTCCTTCTAACAATAATAATTCTAGGCAATACCCTTGATTAGTAAGAATATTTTTAGAAAAAACACATATTTATGATAACTAACTAACTTAATTTCTTTTCTTAATATTTTTAAATTAGTTAACTAATTTTTATAATTAGGATAAGAGGAAGTAGTTTTTTCTATATAACTGGAAAATCAGTTTTAAACTTAAAAATGACGGTGCCTTTGTTTGAGTAAAGTCTAAGAATTTAATACTTAAATTAAATCATATCTATCTGCTGTTGAGTTGACCAATGCTTCGATGGGCGTGGGTGTCCATTTTGTCTCTATACGTTAATCCTTCACACACGCGCTTCATTGCACGCGCTGACACCCGCACTATCTCACTCCGGCTAGGCTCCAATAGATGGCGCCACAAGCAGAGAAGAGTCATAAAAAGCTTCGTTCCGCTGGCAATGGCAGAGTCTCGAGCTGAATCTCTGTCTCGGGGTTCGAAAAAAATTACATCGAATTGTATGATTCTCAATTATCCCAGTGTTATTTTTTGGCATAGCTTTCGATGCTTTTGATTTTGGCGTCCACTCCTCACAAGGGGGGCTTCTTTGTTGCTTTGTACCGAAAACGCTATCTGTCTTTTGCTTGTGGAACTATAGAAAGAAAGCGTGACGGGTCTGTTATGTTCTGTTCTTTGTGAGTGAGTGGGTCCGTTCTTTCCCGCTCAAGTGTTGCTTTCTGCTACAGGCTATCGTGGGGGACTCAGGGATTTTGCAGGGTGTTACATGTCTTTTGTGCATGACATTATTGTACGGAGTTTCCCTTGGTGATTTAGTTGTTTGGAGTCCTGAGGTTTGGAAATGGGGCGCAATTTGGGGTAAAAAATGTTAGGTTTGAGTTTTGGAGTTGGTTTGGGAAGAACGAAAGATGGGTTTTCGTATATCTCTTTTGATAATGTAGAGCAGGAAGTTTTCTGGTTTAGATGACTTTTGGTTTGTGCATTGTGAGATTTCTGGAGCTTTATAACAAATCTAGTTATTATCAAGGAAGGTGACTGCTTCTCGTGCTAGTAAGTGTTTCCGAAATGAATGATTCTTCCGGAAAGACCTCTTCTTGTTTGGCAATCACTGAGAAAAAGAAGAAGCAAAGACCCGGAGGTTGCATTGGCCTTTTCTTTCAGCTATTTGATTGGAATGGAAAGCTCGCAAAGAAGAAGCTCTTCTCTAAGAAACTTTTGCCTCCTGGTTAGTCTCTTCGTAGTTGGCGTGAATTGCATTTCTTCATTCCATCATCTTCTTCTTATCCTCTCGCGTTTTTTTGGTCTCTTGCTGGTTTTACTGGGTATGTACTTCTTATTTTCTCGAAAGTGCTGATAAATTGTTTGATCTTTGGTTTTGAATTATCAGCTCGGGCAAAACAAGCTTCTAAGAAGTTTAAAGGAGACGAAAAAATGCCAAATTCCAAGCTCCACTTGGTAAGTGCTGAAAGAATGGTAAATGCGAAATTTCGTGTTTGATTTTTCTTGGTCTTTGTGTTGCCTTTTGTTTTGTTTTCTCTAGTGCTGAACACATTGTGATTGGTTATTTTCGGATTATAGATTGCCAATGAAAATAGAGGAGGCTTCCCAAGTGCCAAAAAAAGTGGAAATCGGAGCTTAGATTTAGAACCAAAGCATGATATGCGAGTCCCTGGTCTGGTGGCTAGGCTGATGGGTCTAGAATCTATTCCAACTGCTCAGCGAGACAAGTCTGAGAAAGCTTCCTGTTCTGGTTCTTGTGGTAATGTGAAGGATGAATCTCGGGGTAATCATTGCGAGTCAGACAGACAAGTTGGTAATTTGGAAATGAGAATTGCGAGACATGATTCAAGACCTCAAAAGCTTCAGAAAACGGGGACATATGAGAGAAAGGCAATGGCTAAGTTTGGAGCCGAAGCCCTGCAAATTAAGAGTGTTTTCTCGCGAGCAAGAAAGCATAATAATAGTTATCACCACCACCCAAAGCTTGCTTCTCACTTGAAGGGTCCTAAAATTAATTCGGGAAAGAATACGTCTCGAAGCTCGAGGTTAATAGGAGCAGCAACTAAGATTTTGGAACCTGGGCTGCAAGCTACAAGCAGAGCAAAATGCTCTCTTACATATCCAAGTTCCACATATGCTCCTAAGATTGACGTGGCGGCAGATAGAGTAATGTCTAAGTCAGCAAATGTACAGAGCCAATCTAGGTATGATGCAAATGCATCCAAGCCTTTGATGGGATCAGGGGGAAAGGCCTCTTGCAAGAACTGTGGTAATGTGCTTGATGTAGTTGACCGCAATCTCGATGCTGAGGAGCATCCGACTGTTCCTTTAGCTACCTATTCAGAAGTGATTACTACCTCTTGTTTGGCAGCAGAACAGAGGAACGTTAGATCACTCATGACCCCTCATGAACACGACAGTGATGTGGTTCTTCTAAGACCTCAACGACATATCGCATCAAATATTGTAGAAGATGGAAGAAGTAATGCACAGAGGAAGGTCAGATCACTTATGACCCCTCATGAACAGGATAGTGACAGTAATGCACAGTCTGGTCATGAACTTTCTACCAGAAAAATGCCTCCGCCCCATGAAGTTCCTGTACCATGGAATTCATTACCCCAACCATGCAGCACCCTAGAGCATGATGCATCTTCTGTTTCCTTCAGGCATAAATCTCAAACACAAGAACAGATTATAAGCAGTGAAAGAACTTCACCTGGATCTAAAGTAAGTAGGACTAAAGACTTTGTTGCTTTGAACAGAAGCCTCAGTGGCCGAAGCAGATTGAGGTCTCCTAATAAAATCGAAACTTCAAAGTTTGACCTAGAAAGGAAACCTTGTAATAGGCAGGTTGATTCCTTGCCTCGTGTGAGGACAATGGAACGAAAAAGAAGGATTCCGAGTATTGCACTAGTTGAAAGTACAGCTTCTGTCAATTCAGCTGTCATGAAACAGAGAAATGCTCGATGTGATGCACTGGGTGGAAAAGGGAGGGACATCAGTGCTTCTTCCTTTGACAGTATTAATGTTAAATTGAAACAAGGAAGTCAGGGAAAATCATACAAGTCTCCTGACAAGGTCAATGACGTAGTTTCATTTGCATTTAATTCCCCATTGAAGCACAAGACTGGAATGACCACCAAAAAGGATGAGACATGCAGCAAGAATGAGATAAGTACATATTCCCAGCAAGCTTTACAGTTGACGGGAGATGTTTTAGCTGCTTTTCTGGAACAGAAATTGAGGGAATTGACTACTCAAGAAGATGAGAGGTTGCCTATTGGTGGTCCACCGAAAAAATCACCTGCCATGATTCTTCAGGAGCTGATATCTGCTCTAAGTGCAGAGCAGCTGACCTGTCATTATGGTCATATCGTCAATGTCAACAAGGGTTTCCATGTATGTCTTCTCTTTCTGTTGCTATGCTGTGGTTGTTATGGGCTTGTTTAGCTTTTATCCAGTTGCCTCATTTTCATTTTGCGCACATTTTATTTAAAAAAAAAAATTTACACAATGCTCCTATATTAATATGTCAACCTTATCACATAAAGTCTGCAACTTATTTGAACATGATAAACTATAAGCATCAATGAGGAGTGTTAATAGTGGTATGCTTGTATAAGTCTTGATAAAATGTGTGCATATGTATATCAAGATATAAAGTCAACTGTGTTCATAAATCATCTCTAATGTGCCTTCATTATAGTACACGTCAAATGCTGTGGGAAAATTTTCGCAGCTCACTATAAATATTTGGAGAGAATTATGAATACATGGGTGGCTTTGCCTTTGATGAAATCGATGGTCATGAGTATTTAAATGGCATCAGCTAGTGCTTGGTGTGTGCACAAGTAAATCATATATGCTGTTCTCTCTTGTTGAACAACATAGCTGAATCATATAAGAACCTAACCTGGAAAGTGAGGGTACAAATCCAGTACTAATTGATGCTATCAGCTTTATCAACTGGAAGATATTATTGATAGTGTCTTCAGTTGGTGATTGCAAGGATGTTGAGCATAATTTGATCCATGAAATAATGCATACATATCAATGATACCTTGCCATTAAAGACTGCAGTAAGGATGTATAATCATATATCTATTGATTTCATATGGTATGCTTTTGATGTTAGGAAATCAAATGCCTTATCTTCATGTATATGTCAGGTTGAATATATGAGTTATTTTTGTCTTGTCTGATGTAATCTCTTATCAGTCATTAACACACGGAATAGCCAAATTTAATCTGTAGCTTTCTGAATAATCTTCCTGGTAACATCACCTGTTACGTGGCAATATTAGGGAGAGTTACTGGTCTGACTTGATTAGTGAATTGAACACAAATGTTACTCTGTTCTTCCTAACATCGCCTGTGCTATTTGATTGGTTGCTTTGGAATGTATAGCTGAAGAAGAATTGAAGAGCTTTTAAATATTAAATGGATTTTTTTTTTTCAGTACCAGTTTCACTGCCCGTGTTTGTTCACTTCTCGATTGATTTTCAAATAACGCATTTTCTGATGAATTTCTTTCCTTGTGTAAATAATGCCATCTTCTTCAACCACAGCTCAGCAATAGGATCTCTTTATTGCGTTTAATCGCTAAATTGAGTGACACTTCTCATATTTTTGTATGATGAGGCCATATTTATGATGTATTAGAACTTAATGAAGTTGATGATTGGGCTAGTTTACTTGTCAAATTATTTGAATGAGCCCAGCATTGCTATCCTTGATTAATGAGTACTGAATTGGCTTGAATTTTGAGAAATTTTTCCCTTTTTCATTGTTTTCTTTCCTTCCTAAAAGATTTATAGCCGCATCAGTCAGCAACTATGCTTGACACCATCTTCTGTTTCTACTCTGATCAGGGTGGAGCACAAGGGGGAAGTTTAGTGGGAGCCTCGTGCAATGTTAATCATCTTTGCCCTGGATCTGTTCTGGAAGCTTCATTTTCTTCCAGTAGTCTGGATGAAAGCTCAGGTATATAAATTTTTATTTTTGTTCCTTAGATTTGAATTTCTAATTTTCATCTGCTTAACCTCATTTTTTCTCGGTCATCAGTGTAATTCCTCTGTTGATGGATCTTATCCTTTATCTTATTCCAGGGCACGATCTTCACACAGAGTCTATGAACTACTCATATGATCAGTTGGAATATGATTCTCAGCTTGTAGATTCTGTAGCACCATTGGACAAGGGGAAGATAGGTAGTGAGTTATTGCATGTGATTGTTAATCAAATTTCTATGATATTACAAAGTCTTAGCTCATTTGGGATAACAATGAGGAGAGGCAAGCCTGACCATGTGAAAGATGTTATTCTGGATGCTGAGTTGTTGTTCGGAAGTACCACCACTACACACAGTGAAGACAGTATGCCACATCTTTTTGTTTCTCGCTTTCTCCTTGATGAACTGGACACCATGGCTGACGATGATGCCCTGTGGATTGATTTTAACGGCTCTGTGGGTTGCCGGGATTCCAAAGAGAGAAGCCAATTCAAGGGATTTCTCTTTGACAGTGTTGTAGAGTATCTAGAATCAAATTGTTGCACATATTGTAATTGTGGATTCAGGACATGGACCAAGCTGCCTTTATCCATGAATGCTGGCATGTTGGTTCAAGAGGTCAAGAGGGTGGTCAAGAAGTGGGCATGCATGGCTGTGATGATACCAGATGAAATAATAGAATGGGAGATGAGCCACTCCAGAGGGAAATGGACTGATTTTGATGTCGAAGCATTCGAGGCTGGTGTTGAAATCGATGGGGAGATACTTCAAATTTTAGTTGATGAAATTGTTAAAGACCTTGTAGATTGTGGAGGGATGTTATTTGAATCTTTACCCAGATGTTCCTGCTGAAATCCTCTCTGGTTTTTGTCCTTGTATAAATGGAAAGATGGTATTTGTAATTGGGCCACGTTGACCAAGGTTATTGACTGTGATCTTACCTAAAATGGCCCCATATATAGTCTTTTGATTGTTGTCCTAAGCATATTTTCATTCATATCAGCATTATCTTTCAATAATCGATTCTTATCCTTTGCTTCACTTTTGTGTTGTAATGCTGAAGAATTGGCAAACCAATTTGGCTTTTGGAGACGATTCTAATTGTAATGTAATTTATGGGGTTAATGCCATCATAAGATGAAGATAAAGTAAGTCCTTACATATTAGTAAGATTTTGTAGATATTCAAAACTTCCTCCTACCATTTATAAAGCATTTTTAGGAGGACTACCTAATCCTTATTAGAAGGCACCAGAGGAAGTATTAATTACAGAACTGTCTGACTCTTTATGTAAACTCTCCAATAAGTGAAAAAGAACTTATATCGAGGAACAGGAGGTATATATATATATATATATATATATATATATATATTGAATGAAAAGAGGACAACAGGTAAAAAATTACAAAAGTACAACGCAGAAACAATCAAGTCCTATTCTGCTTCCCATCCATCTCAGAAACGTCGGGTGGAGGGCAATCAAAAAGGTAAAAATTGCCATTTATCCTATGAGCATGATTCGCTAAAGAGTCTGCTAAAGGGATCGAGTCCCTTTCTACATGACAAAAAGTAGTATGCCGGTCTTTATTAACAGGAGGAATATATTAGATTTACCATTCTCTCTTGCCTTCACAATTTATTTGTTAGTAATGCCACATAAATACAAATAAATAATGTCTAGGAAACAAATTACTATCTCATGTACTTAATATAAGACTCAGTTTATTAATTTAAGGAGATTAAAAAAGTTAAAAAAATCATTTAATTATAATAAATCTGGTATTAAAAGAATTTTGATAACTCACCAACGTTTAATTCTCAAAAAACACACTTATTAATACAGTGAAACACACACACACACACGCACACACAGAGATCACTTCATCATCAGCTTGGATTGCCAGAACATCTGGTACATTGGCATGCACAAAACAAATATCTCCTATATAATAACAGATGTTATGAATATAAATGCTCAATCCATAGGTGTACAAATTATAGCTGTACGGATACAGACCACTGTAAATTCCCCAAGCAAAGTGAAAAAATTGAAGATTTTGAAAGAATCTAAAACACCATAAAGCAGATCAAATAACTATCGCCATTCATCAGTGACCAGAGCTCTCATCAGCAGCAACCCATTCATCATCCCAACAAGGACCAAATCCAAATTCAACAAACCATAATCAATATTGTCTGTAACCAAAAACATTCTTCCCGTTTCCCACCACTCTGCCACCGCCATAACCATTGCTCCTTCCTCCTCTGGCTTCGCCGTTAATGGCGTTCGCAGCGTACGAAGACAAACTCTTCAGTTCATCGATGTTCGCATAGCTCTTTCTGGCCATCAGAACCCTTCCATTACCACCTTTCTTCTCCCCTGCGCTCGCCGACTTGCTCCCTCTCGAATTTGACAAAACCCCATTATTCGCCTTAGAGAAGCTCTTGGCCGGCGGCGTCATCTCCGGCAACGAGGGAAGCGTGTTCGTCGGCTTCCGGTTCTCTTTCCGCAACGCCGCAGAGAAATCCGGCACCGATTGAGCAAGAACAGAGGACCCTTTTCGTCCAGAAGCCAAGTTAGTCTGGAATTTGACCTGTTTTCTCGGTGGGGTTGCTCGTTTCGGTTCCTCATCTTCTTCGAAGGCTCTCGCATACTTCCTTCGCAGTTTCGCTTCCCTCAGTTCGGCGTAGGCTTCGTATCTGGGACCTCGCTCCATGATGAAGCTATCGGCGGAGGTGAGTTTGAGAGGAACAGGGCAATCGGAGTTCGAATTCTGATTGAGGATCAGAGAAATGGGGTCGAGGGCGTGGAAGAGAGCTCGAAGAGAGGGGTTTGATTCGTGGGATTGTTGCCGTTGCAGAGAGACGTTAATCTCTGCCATTCTTGATGGATTTGAAGCTTTTTTGTATGTGGCAGAGAGATTTAACAGGTCTGGTACTTTTTGTGATTTGCTCAGAAGTAGCAGGAAGGTGTGAAGATTTTGCAACGGTCTAATGAATCGTCAATTCAACGAGGGAGAGAAAGGGGCTTTTCCCAAGGTTTACGTTGCAACGTTCCAATTGGAGGTGGGTCCCATTGTTAGAATCTAAGGAGTCTTTATTAACTGTTTAATTATTTTATTGGGTTTACTAGCACCAATGTCAATTTTTTTTTTTTTGAGTGGAAAGGAGAAATTTATTACTCAGGAAAAAAGGTACAAGAAACAAAGATTACAATAGGAGGCAAAAAGAGCCAAACAAAATGCCTAACTTAAACATCTAAGAGACTCGTTAGCATGGCTTATATGCTGAGTTAACGCAATAGCTTCATTAAGAATGCTATGACATCGGACACTTCCATTTGCAAGGACCACAATATTCCTTGCCTTCCAAAATTTTCAGCATAAGATTGCAAACAAAATGTTCCAGGAAGGTTTGCGCTCGTCTTTCCTGAGGTTCGTTATGAACCAATCTTTTAGTGGTTGGGTACTAAAGCGATGTAGTTCCGAACGTGGAATGAGCATCTTCCAGCAGGATTGGGCGACGTTGCAAAGTCTAAGGACATGATTCAGATCTTCAGGTCCGTTATCACATATTTCACAAGAGTTACTTGAAGCCATATGCCTCCGCACTCTTTCGCAGTTAGTGAGGAGCTTATCATTGAGAGCAAGCCAGAGAAAAGTCCTTATCCTCTGTGGACCAGGCCACTTCCAGACAGACTCCCATGTGTTGCTTTCTTCAGACCAGTCTTCTTCTTTAAGGAGTCTATAGGCTGAGCTTACAGTGAATTCCTTTCTGTTTGTGAGGTTCCAGTGACATTTATCAGGTTCAGCGTCGTCTGAAGGGGGTTTAGAATTAAGCACCTGAGTGACTATGTTTGAAGGAAGCTTGTTGGAGAACTCGGTGCTCCTCCAATTTCCGGAATTATCGATGTAGTCAACAATGGCTTTATCCAAGTCCTCCGCAGATATGGGGCTGAAAGCTAGAAGTTTTAAAGGTCCCAAATCGCCTACCCAGTGATCGGACCAGAATCTAATAAGTTTGCCATTACCAAGGCTCCATTTGACGCCCAGAGAGAGGTCACCCCAGGTTGCATTAAGGCATCTCCATAGATGAGAGACGTTCCGAGTCTTAATTTTGTGGTGTAACCCGGTTGCCCAGTTATATTTTGCCTTCATGACTTTGACCCAAAGCAGGTCCTGTTGGCTAATGAAAGTGTAAGCTAGCTTCATGAGGAAAGCTTCATTCTGCTTTTTGATGTCCTTAAGACCGCACCCGCCACACATCTTTGGTTGGCACATGGTTTCCCACTTCACGAGTCGGGTGCTTCTTCTGCTCGCTGTATCCCCCCATATAAATTTCCTAGTCAGCAATTGGAGTTTATCACAGATTGAAGCAGGGAGTCGGGTAGTTTGCATAGTGTAGAGAGGGATTGATGACAAGACTGATTGAGCAAGGGTTATTCTGCCAGCTAGGGAGAGTGAGCTAGCTTTCCATCCCGAGAGCTTGTGTTGAACCTTGTCAATGATGTACTAATAGGTGTCACTGGTTATTCGTTTATGCAGAAACGGGACACCTAGGTACTTACCTAGATTATCCGTTCGTTGGTATCCCAGTTTATTGCAAATGGAGTGGGCTTCTTGTAAGCTGACATTTTTTGAGAAATAGACTCTGGTTTTCGAGGCACTTACTTTGTGACCTGAAGAAACGCAGAAATCTTGGAGCAGTCTTTGCACAAGGTTCACCTGCGAGGGTTTAGTAGAGCAGAAAAGAATTAGGTCATCAGCGAAAAAAAGATGGGACAACGGGGGTCCTTCTTTCCCAAGCTGAATCGGTTGCCAATTGCCATGATTCACTTCCAAATCAATAGCCTGCGATAATCTTTCCATGCAGAGGACGAATATATATGGGGAAAGTGGGTCCCCTTGTCTAATGCCTCGTTGGGGGGAGAAGGGCTCAGAAGGTCTCCCATTCCATAGCACTTGCATAGAGGAGGAGGATATGCATTTCATTATTAATGTTATCATCGAGCTGGGCAGCCTTGCATCCTGGAGTGTATCTAGAATGAAGTCCCAGCGCAGCCGGTCAAAGGCTTTTTCTAGGTCAACCTTGATGGCCATCCAGCCAACCTTACCCGTCTTCGTTCTCATGGAATGTACAACTTCCTGAGCAATTATTATATTGTCTGTGATGCTTCTTCCATGGATGAAACTGGATTGGTAGGGGAGTGTGAGGACCGGCATGATGTGCTTAAGTCTAGTAGCCAATATCTTCGTAACAATCTTGTACACAGTAGTGCATAAACTGATAGGCCTGAATTCCTTAATTGATTGAGGATACTCCACCTTCGGAATGAGTGCAATCAGTGTTTGATTAAATCTGTGGTCGATGTCGCCCCCTTCAAAGATAGTTTTAATTTCCTTGAAAACTGAGTCTCCAACAATGTTCCATTGAGTTTGGAAGAACATTGCGTGGAGGCCATCCACTCCAGGTGATTTAAGGGGATGCATATCGAAAAGGGCTTTTTTGGTTTCCTCCTTTGTAACCGGCGAGTCTAGGATGGGAATAGATGAGTTCATGAAATGGGGAAAAAGTCCTGCGTAATTGAAGGCCGTTCCTTAGGGTTGCTCCAAAGCATACAAGTTTTTGAAGTATTGACTTGCGAGGGAGCGGAGTGTTTCCTGATCTGCTTCCCAGGTCCCTTCTCCTGTTTTCAACATGGCGATCTTTTTTCCCCTTCGACGGATAACCGCTTTCATATGGTAGTAATGGGTATTCCGGTCTCCATTCTGTATCCATTGACTTCTTGATTTTTGCACCCAGAGGAGCTCCTCCCGTAAGCATATATTTTCATATTCCGTCACCAGGGAGAATTCAAGGTCGAGAAGGTGGGATGATAGGGGGTTACTTTCGAGGGCCTTCTGGACACCTGCCAGGCGACGCTGTAAAGTCCGTTTTTGCTTGCCAATCATCCCAAAAACTTCCATGTTCCAATTCTGAGCCTTTTTTCTAAAATTTTCAATATTGTCTGCAAGCACTAGCTCGTTATTCCAGTTCCGTTCCACCAGTCTGCTGAAGTCTGAATGCAATGTCCAGGAAGCAAGGAAACGAAAGGGGGCTGGCCCAATTTGTTTTTCACCATTCGCCTTTATAAGGATAGGCCTGTGATCGCTCTGTATCCGTGGAAGGTGCATCACTAGTGTGTTGGGTTTAGAAGTAATCCAATGGTTATTGCATAGTGCTCTATCTAGGCGGACCATCAAAGCCCCTCTCTACCAGGTATATTTTGGGCCAACGTAGCCCAAATCTACAAGCCCCCTAGATCGGATGAAATGTTGGAAGGAGTTACAACCAGCCTGCCTCCTCCGACTTCCTCCTCTACGCTCGTCGCTACACAGAGTGGCATTGAAATCACCAGCAATTAGCCACGGCACATTCTTTTCAATAGGTTGGGGTAGGTCTCGCCAGAGCCTTTCTCTCACAGTTGGGTTGGGGCTACCATAGATAGCTGAAAAGAGATAACTTCCAGAACTGTTGACTTCATGAATTCTGGAGTGGATAAATTGCTTATGATTGCTCAAAACCTGAACTATGACAGTGTCCTTCCAAAGAAGCCAGATTCCCCCTGAGAAACCTTGCGCTTCGATTCTGTGAGAATTAGGATAGCCTATGCTCCGAACGACCTGGTCTGCTTTAGTTCCAGAGATTCTTGGTTCCAAAAGGGCCACAACGTCAGGCCTGTATCCCTGTAAGAGTGATTTCAAAACAGCCAAAAACTTGGGGGCTGCTGCCCCCTGACAGTTCCACACAAAAAACGATAAATTCATGAGACAAAAAACTAGTGCTCCATATCGGAGCAATCTGGTACCTTATCTTCTTCAAATCCAGTTTCAATAGCTTCGGCAAAATGTGCTTCATCATCGGATCCGATGTGTGCATCCAGAGCCTCCGCTAAGGCATTTGTGAGTTCCTCTGAGGGTGCTCCCCTTGCATCCTTGTAAACTGATTTTAAATTATGGACCCTTACACTTGGATTTACTTTGAACCCCATTTTGGAGGGACTCTTGTCAGGTGGCTTGGGTCGAAGGTTCTCCTTGCCCAGGCCAATCAAGTGGGTTGGATGGTCCGTATCAAGACCATGGTTCGTCTGGGTTGGGCCACTTTCGGGCCCAAATGATTGGTTAGGCTCTCCAAGGGAGATAACTGTATTTTTAGAGGGATCGAGTGCTGTAGGTAGTCTTGTTTCCTTATATGCGTTGGTCTCGAACAGTGAATCACCTTTAGGGTGGACTGATGGTGACTTGGCGGGAACTTGGTGGGCAGCTTTAGGGTTCTTTGGGGGTCTTGACTTGATGGGAACACTCTTTTTTTTCTCTTTTGGTTCATTGCGAGTTATCTCTGGTGTTGTACCTTTGCTAGCACCCGTACTTATATTGCCTTCTTCAGGATTATCTGCTGTATCCGAGGTAGATAGTAGGCCAAATCTGTTCCCTGTTGTCTGCTGTAAGTCTGCCGCCTCTTTTCGATGTCCTCTGCTACTCCTCCAAGATCGAGAGGGGACTTTCATCCAGTCCCCAAAAAGTTGCTGTTCACGCGCTGGGCTCACGCGCTCTAGGGGAGCGGTTGCTGAGGGTGGGGGAATCTGTTCAGGTGCATGGCCTGGTTCGCCGTGAGTAGGAGCAATCGGCGTTTGGTTCTGTAGTTTGATCGAGCAGCTTGTCTCCAGATGACCGTATCTTCCGCAGCAGTAGCAAATAGTGGGGAAACCTTCATATTCCACGTACTGGGTAATACCATCAAGATTTATCTTTGATATAAGAGGCTTGGTAAGATCGAGTTTGACCGCGAGTCTAGCGAATCTCGCTTTGTCAACGTCTTCAGTGTTGTAATCAATCTTGATGACCTGTCCAATAACTTCTCCGATGGCTCTTAGGACACTCTTATGGTAGTAGTGATAGGGTAGTCCAGGAAGACGTACCCATCCAAAAACTTGTTTTATCTCCAGGTTGAGCGGCGAGAAAGAGGATTCCCATGGGTGCACCGTGAGATAATGCCCGAGAACAACCCACGGTTCCCCCAGCATAGCGTTGTGGTAATCGAAGTCATTCTCAAACTTGACCATATAGCAACCTCCATCAAGTTCCGTGAGCTTAATGCCCCCAGTTGGCCTCCAAAGCTTGATAAGCTTACCATACAGCACATCCTGCCTAACAAAACGCCCAAGCAGTTTGACTACCACTGCTAGTCTCATGCACCCTGCCATAATGTCTTTCACTCTCTGCGAGAAGGTGATGGATGGGATTAGTCCTGAAGTATCTATCTGCACGTCCTGGTCTTCCAGAGTAAGATCGAACTTTTTTGGTTGTTGTATGTACTCAGTCCCTGTTCCCCCATTAACTAGGGTATCCTTGAACGTCGGCTTGTGGCCCTTCGAGTCCTCGTTCTTGTCCTCTCCTTGCTCTGTCATCGGTTCCTCAGCAGGTTCTTCCACAAAAAGCTGCTTCTGCACAGAGGGAGCAATGGCTTCGTCCGTGTCCATTTCTTCTTCCGGTGCTGCGTTCTCCTTACGCCTAACTTTCTTTGAGTTCCGTTGGTCCTCTGACCGTGGCGTGCGTTCTCCTTTAGCCATGAGTGCTACGTTCACCGTCTGCTCCATGGTGAGGGAGTCAATGATTTTGCCTTATGAGTGGAGGTCGCGTCAGCCCCGCTCCGGAGAGGGGGCTGTAATGTCACACGATAGCCCCCGCTGCGGCGGCAGCGGAGGAGGAAAGTTCAGAAGGGACCTGTTGCAGTGGGCAACAGGAAGGATCGCACACTTCCCAAGAGGGAGGTTCTCTCTCTAACAGTCCTTCTCTCTTACTCTTTATAATACCAATGTCAATTAATATAACTATTAATATAAACTATTTTCTGGCCAAAAAAACACACAATTATTAATATATTATCATAATCAATTATCAATTATTAATGCCAAATATAAGATTTATAAATTATAATAAATCTCAACTTTTACTATTGTTAAGTATAATTATGTGTTCTGGCAAAAACAAACAATTATGTGAATATTTAATTATCTATGGAGCTATACAAATGAATCCCAAAATTCATAATTTGTTTTTTATACAACCGGAAAAATCCTACGATTCATAAATAGTATAGCCATGTGGGAAAAAAAAACTATTGAGGGAATTGCTTTTACATTGTCATATCCCAAATAATAAAAATAAGATGTTGCTCTAAAAAGATTTACACCAAGTTTTTTTTGGCCTTCAAAAAGATTTACACCAAGTTGAACCGTTATACACTTGTACTAAAGACGTATTTGGCTTGGCATCAAGGACAAGGTGAGGGAAAGCACATGATAAATACAATAATTATTATATGATTATAATCCTTAATCAGAAAAGTACAAGGATTTTTAATTAGATTATGCCATTATTTTAAGGAAAAATTACATATGGTCCCAAGCGACAAACCTTATTAACAAAGATCAAAAACATTTTTTTTCCAAAAATAATCACTTCAAATACATTTGGTAACTCCTAAAGACCTCACAAATTAACCCCTTCTATTAAGACAAATATCTATTGATCCTACTTATGTTATATTATTTTAGTGAAATAAGGAATAAATTAACAGCAAAAAAAGTCATTTACACGACTATAAAACTTTAAGAGGTTTTATTATAAAAATTTTAAAATTTTTAAAAATTATCCACACATAAGCAAAAATTTAATATACACATTTTCTTACTTGTCTGGTATCAGTATCCGATGATCTTTTTCCATGTAAAAGAATTTGAACTTTTGCAATCTTTTAAAAAAAATGTGTTAATTTCAGAGTTCATCATTCACCAACAATTCATCACTCAAGAAAACAAAAATATAACAAATCTATTTCATTTTAAGGTTATGTAATTTTTCTCAATAGCCAAGTAAAAATATATATTTCTTTTTAACAAAGCTGATAATCATACCCAAATCAAACTAGCCAAAACAACTAAAAGATTTTCGACCAATCTCTCTCTGTAATGTGAGTTATAAAATTTTGGAAAAATTACTGTAGAGTCTCAAGCAAGAGATTTTATCACTGTAAAGTCCCTGAAAATGCTAAAATAAATCTGAAGTCCCAAGGGATTTAATTGTGAAGGATTTCAATTGTGCAATCACAAAATTACCCTTATTCATTTGAAAGAAAACATTAGAGGAAAATGTGGGGGTTTCTTTTGCATTCGCATAGCTCCGTCGCATCTCGCCTCTCTCCCTATTACCTCTCACCTCTTTGATTGTGATATTCTGCTCTGCTCCTCGCTTCTATGACTCCGTCTCTACCTCACACTTATTGCTTCCCATTGTCACTCCTAACCTCCCTGTTTTTTACTTCTCATTCTGTGGGTTATAAAATGACGCTTTGTTTTTTGCTAATTAATGCTCTGTTTCTGCTGAAAATGAATGAATGTGATAGTTTTTTATTGTTATAACTCTTGTAATGTGATGGTTAAATATGTTGTTCATGAATACATTGAAGGTTGTCAATCTAACTGTATGACTTGTCAACGACAAGTGATTGTGATAGGTTGATATGAAGGATGGTAAGTTTAAGCAGGAAGTATTTGTTCTGTTACATCCATATAAGGAGACAAATTATTAATGATGTAGAAGGTAAAATGCAATATATTGGAGGTGGTGTGAGAACAAGAATGATTAAGGAAGGCACAGCATATGAAGAATTTAAAATAATGGTAACATCAATTGTGGGGAAAAAAAGTAATGGAATGGTTATAAACTTCACAATAACCTTGCATGAGTGTATATTTGTAGACCTTGTAGATAATGGAGGAGTGGAACATTTAATTAACTTCAATGGTGACAGCAACCATGTATATATAGGAGAAAATAGAGACGAAAATTCACAACTAACAAAGAATGTTCCAATAGAAGAGCAACATGTGTGAGTTGTATTATTTAAATTTTAAAGTAGTGTTGCATGTTGTCAATTGTTCTGTTTAAATTGTTATTGCAGTGGTCGAAGGTTGTCATTAATAATCCCATGACTTGTCCTGTTATGCAGAATGAAAGACTTGTTCAGAAGTTCAGATGTATTGTCTATGTCTCCATCCAATGTGTTCAGTGAAGAACCACTATCATTACCATGTGGTTCACAAATGATGTCAACCCCAATTTTAAAAATGAATTCCAAAAAGTGGAAGCATTTTGTGAATGCATGTAACAGTATTATTTTGTAAATGCCATTACATACA